CTGTTGAGCGAGTCTAATGGCTTTGATGCGGCTTGCGAGATCCTACCTTCAAATCCCTCAAGCGGCACGTGCACGTGGGGTTGTTTTCTCACGCGCATGCAGATGCAGCACAGTTTTCTTCCACCCGTTGGAGGTGGGACTCCCTGGCCCCTTTTCTTTGTGCCGTCAGCCGAATAAGCCGTGTAATCAAGTATCAAGGATAAAGACGTTTCCCTTCGAAATACATCAGTTTACTACTGTGGGAATGGATATTTCCTGCAGCTAATCAGTGCTCTCACATCCTCTGCACAGAGCTGCTTTTACACCAGGATGTGTGTAACATGTTCGCTGAAGCTATTTTAAAATTATTTATTTATATTATGGAGTTGTTAAAGTGTCAGTACTTTTAATGTGTTTGTGACCTTTTAATTTTTGGAGCTGAAGAAGTGGACTTGGACACGGGGTAAGGTCAGCTTTCCCAAAAACCTCAGCTCCATATGCTCTCAGAAACACACGCACACACATTAACTGGGTGTTCCTGTTCTGGTACAAGCTGCTTTTCCATTCAGGCCTTCTATCTTTTCCTATTGGTGGTGGCACTGTGTGTGTAAGTGTGTGTTTACCCAGGGCTTGACAGTTACAATTTCTTTCTTTTTTTTCTTTAAAGGCAGCGGTGTATGGATTTTTATCCCTATAGAAACCCGTGTTTGCTCTGCGCTTAGCTGAAAGATTACAGAGTCTGAGTGGGCTGAAAAAAGAAAAAACTGAGTAGAGACCCTGTCTGTGTGTATCTGTGTGTGTGGATGAGCTGTAGTCACGCTATGATAATATTGTGTGGCGTCTGCACAGAGCAGACAGTGTTTTCCTCCCCCTTTCTCCTCCTGCTCTGAGGAACAATCAGCATACTGTGTGATGTGCAGGGCCGCAGCAGTCATAATGGCAATTATGTCTTCTTCCAGCCAGATTGGCAGCTTTTTTATGGTGAGAACCAAAGAGCCAGACTGGGAGAGAGAGAGGGAGAGGGAGCACTGACCTGCTGCACAGCTGCAGGGTGGGGTGGATCAGTGAGGAGTGAAAGGGGAAAAGAAAAGTAATATGCAGCCATTTACATATTTACATTGGTTTCTGAGTAAAGTCGTGTCCAAGTGTATGCAAGAGCCAATTCCCATTGCTTTGTTTCTTTATTTTCACCGTTTTGGGTCTCTTTAAACTGTGTCCTCCCCCCCTTTTTTTTTTTTCAAGTGTCCGGTCACCATATTTCCAGATAAGAGAAGGGAAGTGCTGATAAAAATGTCTGTCTGAGTCACCTTCAGTTAGCTCAACTAGCTGCTTTGCAGACTTTTTCCACATTAATTTGCCCCGAGCTTTGCTTCTCAGACCGAATCCAACCTGCAAAAGGTCCAAAAACCATCCCCTCTTTGGAATATAACACTTTTCCCTCGCTGTCTTTTAACCTCCGCCAAGGATGTATGCTTGCAGGATTACTCAAAGAGTTATGGAGTTTGGGCTCGGCCCAGATTAGAAGTAATTACCTTTTGATGTCTATCCGGATCTGTATGCAGGAATTTTTGAAAGGAGAGAGGAAGATTATCATCGTGTCTTCACAAGTAGATGTAAAATACAAAGATATCCTTCTGGATTCAGTGAGTTGAATAACGCATGACGCAGAGTGTGTTTTCACCTTGTTAATGTTTTTTTTTTTCTTACGTGTGACTGAATGGGAAAAATATGATATACACAAGACACTTTATACATGGAAAAACATATCATTGGATCATTTATTTAAAAAACAAAACAAAATATAAATAATTCACTTTACCACTTTACCAAATTAAATGGACTAAAATCTGATTTCACTACCAATTAATCATTAAACTAGCCTACTGAAAGTTTAAGCTAGCAGTAAGGTAGCTTTAGCAGAGCAAATAATATATGTATATATTAATATAATGTTCATGTACAACAGGCCTATAGTTCGGTTAACTTTCTAGAAAGATTCCCTCAGTTACTTTAAATCCCCGAACAGAAAAAACTCCTTTAAAAAAAGCATGAAACCAAACCTGTGGCCTACATACGAGGGAGTATTCTGCACGTTGTTGCAAAGCCGCGGCGTCCTCGCTCCACCCATGTTTACCTGTTTGTTGTTGCCACGGGAACACCATCTCGGCAGCCTATTGGTCCACCCGGAGAGGTATCGGCAGGTGAAGGAGTGCAGCTGCGTGGGCGTGCTGAGGGAGCGAGAAAGGGGCGGCTGATAGCGACGGAAAGATAAACATTGCGATAGGGAGGGCAATAAATGTATGGAAAGGGGGGTGGAGCTGTGATAAATGGACGGACAGAGGTGAAGGTGGAAGTGGTGGAGACGGAGGGGGAGGAGGGGGGGGGGGGGGGCACTGCACACACCTCGCTTGCTTTCTCAGAAACAGGAAGTCGTCAGTTGAACCGCCGTCTCCTCCAGTGACGCAGCTGGCTGAGTTTGATGACGGCCATGTGTCTGCGTTGCTCTGGCAACCGCTTGGACAAGGACAAACATCCGGATGTCATGTGTCTGTTGCTGCACCGTCATCGTTCTTCATCAGATTTGTTGTAGCAAGAAAAACCGCATTATCAACCCAGGTATCAGGACGGGCTTTGGTTTGAGCTTTCTAGTAGTCAGTTCCTTTACATCCAAATACTAATAGTGCACTATACTGCATATATATATATATATATATATATATATATATATAATATATATATATATATATATATATATATATATATATATATGTATATGGGAGTCGTGCACTGTTCCATTTAGTAGTTTCTAAGCTCTTATTTACTGCACTCAAACATAAGGCCTGGGGGCCAGAAATGGCCCAGCAAAGACTCCATTGTGGCCCAAATGACCATTTTGGAAAATGTAAGGGAGGACATGAATTTTGGTCCTTTTGGTCCTTTAACTGTATTTTCTTTTCTTTTCTTTCTTTCTTTCTTTTTTTTTTTACAGCTCCTCAACTGATAAATACCTAACCTTGGGTTATTCATGTTACACAAACATAATTAAAGCTAAACAGCTAAACAATTAAATGATAGAAAAGTTCCAGTTTTCCAGTTATTTGTTTGTTTGTTTTTAGAATGGGTTCGTGGTAAACAAAAAATACATAAATAAAAATGTGTACTTTATAATCACAGGATAGTCTGAGCAATGCCATTTTCAGTAACTCTACACATTTATTTCTTACAGAAAGATCCACGCTCACAGGTTTCTTTTGTTTTCAACAGCAGCATCTTTCTATTATGTACAAAAACCGAGACGTGTTATTGAAATTGCACATCTTTTCCTCATCTCACAGTTGTGTAGTTTAGTTTCTTTACACTGACAGAAAATAGGAGTTTGACTGATCCGACACGCTTAAGATCAAAGTAGTGAGTTTGTCATGCCTGCTCTAAATGATTACAAATTGTGTTTAATAGTATTGATGTTCTCTAAAGCTGCCGCCGTGAAACATCTTTCATGTCTGCGTGGAAAAATAACCCATAGTAACGCCGTGTTTTGAAAAGTGCCATATAAATAAAGTTAATATTAATAGCTGGTTAACATTTTCATGCACATTTGTTAAGTGTCTCTTTTGTTATTTAAAAAAAAGTATAATTTGTAAAGAAATTTGATAGGAGAGCAATAATAAATTTAACAATGTGGAAGAGTAATTAAAGGGGTACAAATTGAGAGAAACTGATATAGAAGTGAACTGATTTCTATTTAATAAAAATACTCTAGCAATACTTTAGTACTTTATTAAAAGCACCCTTTTGCTCATTTATAGTAAGACCACTTTTTATACCTTGTTTAAGGCAAAGCTCAGGAAAGGTTGAAAGCTAGCTCAAGTTAAAAATGTACAAAAAAAAACTTAACCCTGCAATACAGTCATGTTTGTCACACTTCCTGCTGTATTTTTGTGTAGGCTTTCGGTGGGTGTTTTTACAAGTATTTTTATAAAATGTCTATGGGCTGAGGATGTGGTCAAAACGGTGTGAAAGAGCAACAACAAATAAATGCCTAACAGCACCGAAATAAACCTGGACTCTGCATGGAGAAGATGCATGAGGGTTTTTATATCTCTTACAGGCTCTTGTTAAAATTACCGAGGTGTAACTGCATTTAGCTAAATGAATGAATTCTGACATGTCCATGAATGAGGTAAGGGTGATGATTAAACAGTTAAAAAAAAAGAGAGATGTGAAACCTTTACACTCATAGCTCTCACTGTACTTTTTTCACTTTCAGGTCGCTGTGGAAACAAAAAGTACATCCTAACTAAAGCACAAATGAAAAAATGGAAAACAGTGTAAGACTTTCCTTTGTCCTCTTCTCATAACCATTGTTTATATATATATATATTTTTTATGGTTTTTGTGTAGAAATGTCCATTTCCCCCCCCTTCTCCACATTAGTGCTTGTTTTCTTTATAATGTGGACACGGATTGATGAATTATGAGTGTAGTTTTGAGTTAGAATAGTGATGAATTTTGCACTTTTTCTTTATTTTGAAAGTTGAAACTGCTGCCTGTCAATTTCTTGATTTTGCCCCCCCACACACACAGACACACACAGACACACACACCTCTGTTGTCACAAATCTTTCAGTTGTGTGGTAAGCGTGACAGACTGTGCGAAATCCGTAGGAAGTAAAAGCTTATTGTTGCGTAATGGCACAGAAAGCTCTTTGGATTTAAGCAATATGAATTTCTGTACACAATAGAAACATAGCCTAGAAATTAAGTTCACCGCCACACAAAAAAACCAGAGCCGAGTGATTTCATTCGCTCTCTGGTTTCACAGGCGAACGTAAGCAGGCGCGGTGTAACTTTTACCTGCTGATTGGTGGCCATTTGCCGCATATCTGATTTCCTGCTTGTGACCTCAGCGTAGATAAGAAAGACAAAGAAAGTGATGGAGAGCAAGTGAGAGACGCAAAGGTTAAAGAGGTTTATTTGATAGGTGAAGGAATGAGTCACAGAACACAAATGCACAGGTCTTCTTTTTTTTCCAAAACAAGTTTTATTTTTCCAAAAAAGATTCAAATATACTTAAACAGACTTAATTAATTGATATATTTTTTCATTTTCATAGATCACGGTACAAAAAACAAAGAAAGAAACCCTAAAAATACAGTTTAAAAAATTTCTAACATTTATAATACATTATAAGCTTTTATGGTTATATGCTTTTAAAGGTCTGTGTATGTCATGAAAAAGAGCTGCATAACTAAAGAAAACACGCTGGTGTTAATGTTGTTATTAAACTGACATTAAAGTGTGTGTGTGTGTTTGTGTGTGTGTGAGAGAGAAAGAGTGTGGAAATGAGAACAGTCCCCTGTTCCTGCTGAACTGAGCCAGCCGACGTCACACACTGATTATCAGCACAGCAGGCACAGGAGACCGACCCAGCGGGGGGGTGAGGAGGAGGGGACAGAGGTGGTCACACACACATAAACACAGACACACAACAACGAGCCAAACAGACACTGATGCTCATGCAGAAATCAACAGGTAGAAGTGAAACTAAACACACACACACACACACACACACACACACCAGAGAGAGCCTGGCAGCCAGCAATACACCCGACAACACAAGATGACATATTGCCCGCCCAACAGGAACGGGAGCAGCCTTCGACACTAATGAGACGCCTGACATTTATCAGGCTCTGACACACTGAGACCGAACAATTTCGGCTAATTCACCAGATTAGCTGTTTTTGCCAGGCACTCGCTCATCACATCACATCAGCCACATCACAGTGCCGACTCGTAACACTACTGAGTCATCCATGGAGTACTCCCGCACGCGCGTGCACACACACAGCCTCCGACACATGTTGTCAATTTAGCAACGATCAGGAAAGCTCGTAAAAATAAAGTCAAAGGATCAATCTGGCTGTTGAGGAGTAGGACGTATTTGCCTCGTTACCGGCAACGTGATGCTTTCTAGTAGCGGGCAGTGGATCGATTCAAATATTGATAGTATCGATACCAATACTGGTGTTGGTATCAGATGGATACTAGCACAATTGGACCGATACTCTTCTATCCTTATGTTCAGTACGTAGCACATTTAAAGGACAGAAGCTGATCCAGAGTGCTTTAGAGACAGCCACATGAAACGCTGATTTGTTGTACTGAGTAATTATTGTGGTAATTCATCTCATAAGTCATGACACACTCCCCTACATAAGCTGCATTTATCAGTTAAAAGTAGCAGCATTGATAATTCTGGCTCTGTATTTTGGTATCGGATCGATACCAAAATTTGCAGTATGGCACAGCATTTGCTGTCATTTAGGTGAAATTGGCTTTTTTGACACTTCCTTTGATGGGTGCCGGGTTTGTGTGGCAGACTTCCTGAAAAGCTTCCTTTAAGGAAAAATAGACTCACTGAGTTTGCTGCTCAAGTTTCTATAAACCGCTTGAGAAAGCAGGGCAGCGATGAGATAACAGAAAAAAATGGGCGATGGTGTGACAGATAAAGATCTTTTTTGCTTTGTTGTTGTTGGGTTCAAGTGCCAAAGAAGGTCACAGGTTCTTAAGTAAATCATCGAACAGGCGGCTAGATCCACATTTTATATAAAAAAGCAGATTTTTGTTGGGAGGATATAGTCATGGGACGAGATCATGCTCATGTGAAGCCTGGTGTTGATGTGGAGAGTGGTGTTTTTGATGCAGTGCGGCCCCTCCCTGACCTTTACTCCTCTCCCTTGTCCCCTGCAGGCTGCAGCCCTGTGGCGGCAGAACTTAACCACTGTGAACATGGCAGACACTCACTGTTCACATGTGGGTTAAGTCCTGCTGCCGCACAGCCAGGCTTCGACGGGCATCTGTTTGTGACACAGAAAGGAGACGTTTCTATGTGTGTATGCAAATGAGTGACTGTGTATGAGTTGGCAAATTGGCGCGCGTGCGACGAAGAGGCTGCTTTCTTCGTGTCAGCCATTGGAAATCCCTGGCAATGTGATTCAGTCCTCTAGTTTAAAAAAAATCACTCTGCCAGGAATTCCCCTGGCCAACAGATAGAGCTGGACGGTCTGTGGTGGAAAGAAGACTTCAAAGCATGCGCAGTAATAAATACCACAATAAGACTCGAGCATCACTGTCACCTTTTTAAGCAGCAGCTCCCTTCTTCTTTAACCCCCCCAATACACATAGAGAGCAGTCTGGCTCTGTCACATGTTTGTCATTCGCAGGTCAGTCACTGCATTTTCTCAACCCTGTGTGCACTGTACGTGGTCCTTGTCAACTCCCAGACTTCCTGTGGCCTCTTATAAAAATAGCTTTTCAATGACAGAATGGAGAATTAGGTTAGAAGGAAGTGGCCACTCGAATGGCACTGCCTTTAACAGACGCTTACCCTGCACCCTTTATCTGTGCCCCTTGTGAACAGGGGAAAACCAAAGACAAAACAAAATGAGAAAAAGAGCACTGGAGCATGTTTCCTCTGCTGCTAAGTTACAGCAAAATCTCTTAAGAAATTGTTAGGGATTTTCATGTTGCATAGAGAACCTTTGCTTTTATACATTGTGAAAACATAAAGTCTGATCCTGCGTATTCCTTAAAAGAAAAAAAAAGGAGAAGAAGAGAAGCACACACAGCCATCCCGCCCCGGAGCACAACATAATGCTGTGAATTTCTTTTGGTTGAATTTCACTTGTCTGGACAGGATAAACTTTATTTAATGAACACCGTTCCAGTCTCCAGATCCCGGCTGATCCGCTCATTTTGCCGCCCTCCTTTGAGTTGCTCTTATTTTCAGCAGCTTGAATATTTTGCTGTGTACAAGGTATGAGTCAGTGGGAACTCCAGACTCTAAATAAGCTTTAGCTGGCTGTCTGTTGTCTCTTTGGGGCAGTGGCCGGGAAATGTTATCACTAAAGCGGGCACCTCTGTTTCACAAATCTAGTGTTTAGACAGAGCTTCCATAAATAGAACGCAAACTTTTTCCAGCCCAGTTGTGAGCATCGTTTTGAGCTAAAAGCAGCATCTCATGTGGAAGCTTTCCAGTTTTCACCAGGCCAAAGTGAGGTTCAGTGTTTGGGTGCTACTGGGAAGAAAACAGAATAGCATTGTCTGTTCTCGCTAACTTTCAAAATCAACTTTTTTGACTCTACAGTAAACTAAAGTGTACATTTACATTGCCTTCGGGACAGTTTTTTTAATCGCTCGGTTAACAGAAAACCAAAATGTCAACATAAAAATGTACCCAGTGCGGCCCGTTTTAGATCCCAGTTGTACGTCTTCTTAATTTCCTTTCTGTTTTACGAGTTGCGCTTTTTAAAGCCTAGGCCGGTCTCCACACGGTCACAACAAGATGCTGTCAAGAAAGAAGGTAAATTAAGGTCTTGGCATCCATCAAAGACACGACAACTGCTCCCTTTACCTCCTACCCGCCTTTAACCTTAAACCCTTTATACCGCCATCTCTTTTCATCCTGGTGTGTTATTTTCTCTGCCTTTTCATCGTTTCCATCGGTTTCTCGCTCCCCCCCCCCACTCAAACCCGCAGCCCGTTAATGTCCATGAGCTCATTCCTTCCCCTGTAATGACGGCATTCTGGTTGACGCACGCTGTCCAACACCTCACCTCAAACACTCTCTGCGAGGATCTCACATTCGCCTTGTTTTTTTGTTTTTTTTGGGGGGAGGATACAGGCGGCCCTCCTGCTACTGGCTTCTCATACTGGATGTTTATTATCATTAGAAATAACAAGTATGTGGCATATAGGCTGCATCTTACTGGTAGCTCGCAACCGTGGCAACTTGTTGCACCTCGACGGAGGCGTAGGGTTGGAAAATGAGCATCACCGAGTGACGCCTGCCAGCAGATGTATTCTAGTGAAATTAAAGTGTTTTTAGAGAGCATGTCTTCGTGGATTATGGCCTCATGTGTGGGTTCTTTGATGGTTTCGTGGTGTGTATGTGTGTTTATTGTTCATGCACATGACGTATGGCGGCCCAAGTGCAGACGTGGCCACTGGCTGTTTTCTCAGATCGTCGGCTCGAGTTCAGAATTGACATTGCCGTTTACACAAGGGCACACAGTTAAGTGGAAAAGCCTCTGCTGGGACAGCTGGATCTCAAACCCTTGTTGTTTCAACACATATCTTCTCTCTGCCCGTGTCCTTGTGTGCGCATTGCACAGAAATGCACACACGCTCCGCAGGCCAAGCGCAATCTACCAAACTCTCCACACACACACGCAATATGTTCACTATCACTGAGCAAACACAGTGATGTCAGTGGCAAACGTGTGGTTCGCGTAAGCTGGTTTTCACTCTTTCTCATAAACTGTGAATAGTAAAAATACCAAGCTGACATCATTCGCACCTCCAGGCTGTGGACCGCTTAACAGAACAAACAGTGAGCAGTACGATTCCCAGGCTCGTGCATGTCATTAAGAATTGTTTCTCAAAGCCGAGCACAAGTCATTTATGTTTCCACTGATTTTCACAGGGGCCAGATGAAGCTGTTTCCAGCCACAGCTTCATCTTTCTCTGTAAATGCTATAAGTTCAAGACATGAAGTCACAATTGTTACAGTAACATGTTAATTCCCTTCTTACGGTGTAAATTTGCCACGTCTGCTTTCCATAATTGCTATCTTCTCTGTTGCGCCTATTAAACTCACTCCTGGGAAGAAAAGGTGGAAAAGCCTAAAAACGGTTAAATGATGAGGAGCGAGCAGCTGACACATCAAAAGAAAAAAAATTATCCAGATTCAAGGCTGCATTTTTAATCCGCCAGAAAATCAACCACAGGATCAACAAAACTGCAGTCGAAACGGCAAAGCCCGCCAACTAAAACACAACGCAGCACCACACCTTAACTTGCTTTCTACCAGACAGGGTCTGTCTGGGTATGTGTGCGCATGTGATTGTATTTGTTTCATGTTACGTGCGAGGGTGTAATCATTGCTGAGGCTGTGACATTTAGTGACATTCAAACAAGAGCCCAGGCCTCTACTATGGGCCTTCTATGTTGCAGTTTTCCCAAATTAAAGGCGACCGTTCATTGGCTGGCCTGGAATCAATGGAACGCGCCACATGTGGGACATTAGTCTGAGAAGTAAAAAAGAAGTATTTCCAACTCCTTTTTTTTTTTAAAGGGAAAAGCTCAAAGTCTCTTTGGGCTGTAAAGCTAGCCTCAGCAGTGAAGAGCCCAGCCCAAGCCCGTGGTCCACTCCCTGTAGCCCAGTGCGTGTAATCCTATCCTCAGCCTGATTCATTGCCAAACACCCTTACCACCACCACCAGCCCTGTACTTAGAGTACAGCTGCCCTGCTGCCACTGAACCACACATGCACAAGTGGATGCTGAAGCTGCACACACACACACACACACACTTTTATTCCACTACGCCACGGTTTCCTGAGCCTGGGCCCATTCCTACAGATTGCTGCCGGGCACACCCACCCACTCAAACCACCCCACCAAAGCCAAGGCTTGAGGGTTAGATCCCCACATTCTTCTGCTCCTCCCATCCTTTCTCACCATCCATCCATCACCCCATTTTTCCACCTTCTCAAAGCAGAAGGCAAAATAACAACACATTTGACCCGTGCCTTCTCTTTCCCATGTCATTTGGCATGGAGGTTATCTGAAGTCACAGCCAGACGCATACGGAGCAAAGTGATAGACGCCACTTTCGGGGCTAAATTAATACCACTTTATCTTATCCTTCTTCTTTAGGTCAACCTCACTTTTACCTCCTTCAGTTCCATTTTTGCCTTCCGCTACTCAGTTTGGTCTATACCAACACCCCCGACACACACACACACACACACACACACCAGACAGGACGGCAAACAGGAAGACAGAGAGCCAGCCCTGAAATGCAGCTCAAAGTGGGTTAGCTACAGTAGCCACTGGATTCCCTTCCTTTCATGGAGGTTTGGGAGCTCGCAGACTTACGGGGCCCCTGAACAATGAGAGGAATGTTTGAGCGGCTCCGGCCTTGCTTCAACACTGCCATTACGCCTCTCAGGCTTTTTATGACCTCACTTAGCGCTCCGTGCTGCCAGCAACACCCCAAGGAGAGGCACACAGACTGACAGACATGACGACAGGCAGATGACACACATGGGCAGACAGATGACAAACATACTGTATAAGCAGAAAGCTGTATGGAAACAGGTGGAGGCGAAACAATTATGCCTGAAATCACTCAAACGGGGGGGTGGTACATAACCTTTAAATTAACAAGCGAGTTAGGCAGCGAGGAATGAAACCATCCCATTCAATGGCACTGTATTCATCTGACCTTTGTAATGGAGCCGGTCCACAGTGGCAGACCTCATAACGGGGCAATATTCCAGTGCCAACAACACAGTACATTTGAACAGCAGGCAGACTTTTACTCCGACTCTGTGTGAACGTCCCGTCCTGATCAACAGGTTGCAGGAACTGCTGAATTGCCCCTCTGTGGAAGACCAGAGGTTTAAAAAAAAAAAAAAAAGTCAGAGGAAGGTACACAGTGTTCATGGATCATAAAGTCATAAAAGTAATAATCATGTCCTGAGAAGAGGCAAACCCACTGCTGTACCTACCTGAGACAACAGTTTTTACTCCTTTTCCTCTCCCTCTTGTTCTTCACGCTCTTCAATGTCACACTCTAAAAGTTGACCTTCACAGTCCCCATCCCATCTCCCGTCTCTCTCGCAATGTCTCCGCGTCTCCCACTCTTTGTCCTTTTTTCCTTGTCAGTCCGTTCCTGCTTTGGCCGTGCAGACAGGAGTGTGTGTGAACGCGAGTGTGTCTGGGAGCCAGACGGGGTGAGAGTAAGCAAGTAGGCGGGCTCAGCCTAGCAGAGGGGATTCCTTTATGACGATGTCAGAGGAGAGGAACACTCCCCTTCTCTCTCCCTACCTCTCCTCCCCTGTGCATGGCCGAAGCTGCTGGTAGAACACAGGAAAGGGGGCAGGGAGATAATTGGCTGCACAGCTGCTAATAAATGAGCAAGGGCTGTTTGTGTCAGTAGCAGACAGGAAGAAGCTAAATGTACACTGAGACGAGTTTGCTACTTTTGCCCATTTATGTCAATTTAGGAGAAAAGAGTGCATGTCTATACTCATCCCCATATAAGCAGATATTAACCATATTAACCGAAAAAAAGAAATTAAATATAAAGAAATAAAAGAAAGTTAAACGTGACATTAATGAGGTTAGACACACTTGTTAAAAAGTCTTTAAACTGAGTGTTTAAAAGTCAGATCAAAGCCGTGCATGTTGTGGATTTCAGATCAGAGACGTCAAAGCTGAAAAAGTGTCTGTTGAGGTCATAAAACTATTAACCCTGAGGCACTAAACAGATTTATGGAGGATCACAGCAATCTTAGCAAATGGCAAAACATGGCTGATATTTTTCCCTCCCCTACACGCTTCCATTTGGTACATAAAGATCAAACTGAGAGAGATCTTTGGATCAATTACGCCACGTCAGATAATCAATAAAGCATTGAAAAACGACTTAAATCACTCATGCTGGCTTACAATCTGTTTAAAATCATTGTCTTTGTAACTTTCGGGTCTTTGGAAGCGTTTGATTTTCATCTCCACCTGTCAAGCGTAGGACCCCCACCCCACCCAACCAACCCTCCAGGCAACACTGGGGCAGTAACATGAGCTTCTGAGAGGGGCTATTAGAAGCTTTACAACTTCCCCTGAAGCCTTTGGGTGTGTGTGCGTGAGAGTAGCAAAGTCCTGTACAGAGAGCCACGCCCCTGTGCGAGATCAGACGTCACACATTCCACACACACATACGCGTCTCTAGGCAACGCATACACTCAAGCTTAGCGAAATGACTGTGCCAGTAAGACACGTGACCGCCTGCGACACATCGTTTATCTTCGGATGGGATAATGTTTTGTTTGCGGACCTCAGTTTCTATGTTGTCTTCGTAAGGGGATTTACAGCTTTGCACAAGAGCCAAAAGGTTTTAATGAGGGTCTTAACTTTTGATTGATAGCTATCAAAGATTACATACGGGTATGTGTAAACTTGTGTTGATGATGATGATGGAGCTCTATCTTTTTCTTGTCCTTTCCTACTCTTCTTATAAAATGATGACCTGCTTGCGTCAAGCAAGCAAAAAAACCCAAAAAAACGACCTCTCTGAGGTGGTGAACTGAGAGATGAATATTGTTAACGTGCTCTTTTAAGCGATGAGTTTCATCTTTATTTTGTGGTCTAAACCACTATGCGTGCCGTGCACACTCCTCTTTTGCTTTGCTTCACAGGCACGGCAATGAGCGCTGCCACACGCAAACCAAATACTGTAATGACTGAGATAACACAGAATTGAAACAGAGATGTGCCACTCTTAAGTTCCGGCTGGTAGCACTTCTTTCAGTCTGTTTAAAATATGAACAGAACAGAGGAAAGATATGAAACCGATGCTCTCTCAAAGCTTTTGCACACATTAATGAGAACACTCTGGTGCGTAACGTTCTCGAGCTTTTCCTGCTGACGGTGAGGATTGTGGTATTTGGAAAACGATGCGTCTTCTCCACTCCAAGGCCATACTCTGTACTTTATGGTTCTGGGAAATGGAATCCAACATTTGTACATGTTTGCATATGTCTATATTTCAACATATATCAGTCCATTTTCGAAAGATAACTGTGGCCGAGGTGGTGTGAATTCCCATTTCTGTTTTTTGTACAGTTGGAGATTACATGTCGCAAAAAAAAACAACCTAACTTCACTGTGGCCTGCAGAAATCCTGTGAGGGTTGTGGGCACTTCTGTGGAGTCATGGTTGAGCTGTGTCATTTTTAGTTATAGTAGTCCCTGAATAGTAGTTCATTGAAAAATATTCTCCACACTTTGGTTTGCTTTGGTGTCCCAGCTCAGGAGACTCAACATGGGACATGTAACATGTAACATGGGACTCAAAACATGTATTTCTGTGTGTGTTCTTGGACGGCTTGTGTGTTTTTCATATTTTTTGGCGCATTCAGTAAGCCTCTATAAAAATCACTTTTTTTTTTATTGTGGATGAACAGTGTGTACTTGTGTTGATGGGTCACAGCGGACGTTCAGCTGAGCGATCATCTTCACCGGTGAGTCAGACGACAGTAAGCGACTCTAATCTGGGCCGCGGGGTCTGGGAAAAAGAAAAAAAATCAACATCCATTTGGTTGTCATGGTGAGTTAGATCCAATTATGCAACAGGCAGCGGAAAATGGTTTTGGAGAGAGACAGATATTCAGGAAACTTGGGAGAAAAAGCCGCTTGCCGTGCCAGCTGATCTGAGAGGTATCAGCGTTACCCTTATTTAACCAGACACATTGGCTAAGGGCACATTCCTGTGAACGGCAGCAGGTTCTGCAGAAAGAGATACGCATTCACAGATTTGTTTAAGTTTTAAAACTATTCTTCTGTTCTTGGAAACTGGGCCCTGCAAATGCTTTCCCCAAGGGCATCACGACCTTGACTTTATTGCCTTTGCATGTCAAGAGCCAGCCCAAGGATTTGAAACAATCCATCCTCCCTTCACTACATGAAATAATACTTTTGTTGAGTCCTTTTTAAATCTGCCTAAACAATGCTGTCATCAAGTATAAGGCAAACGACTTTCTGCCCTCTGAACAGAGATTATAAGAAGATCATATTGATATACTTTACCATAGTGATTAGCCTCTTCCAGATATTGCTTGTTGCAACAAACATTGCAATCTGATGACTGATTTTAATGATTAGCGTACCCAAGCCTAAATGTCATTCAGCCTGCCTTATTGGTGCCAAAGCCCCCCAGGCCTTTTAAATCAGTTGCTCTACCCTTGTTTTTGTTACTGCAGAACAAATAACACTGCAATGTTGCATTAAGATTTTCAAGAAAATTTTACTCCAATAAAAATGAGCGCATCTGTAAAACCTAATTGCCTCAAGTGTTTTCTGTTACGTGATTAGTAATCATAGCTTTGTCCTTTCTCCTGTATGTCCTTCAATCCTCAGTCTACCTCTTCTTCTTCTCTAACTCTGCCCAGCTTGAAGAAAAGTTGTGGCGATAAAGCTGACTGGTAATGCGAGCTAGCTGCTGGCACAGTTTTCCACAGCAGCTTTCTTTAAAACAGTGCCAACATTGCTAGTAGTAGGGCTTGCTAGAAGAGCAATGACGGCAAGCTCTCTCTCTCTCTCATGGAGCTCAGATTTTAGCCTGCTAACATGCTCTCAAATGGCATAAACACAAATATTAGACGTGCCAAACATCTGCAAATTATCACTTGAGAGCATGGTAGTGTGCTACCATTAGCAATTAAGTTAACAAGCAGAAGAAGGAGAAGGAGAAGCGGGTACTGTGAAGTAAGACTAAACCTACTCATTGAAAAAAAAAGGTTTCTTTACCTTCCAAAGCTGTACCAAATCACTTGTCTTGATGCTTACATTTGCTATGTTGCTATATTCCCATTGCAAATACGGCTAGCATGAACCCCGCGTTGTATGAATAACTTTCACAAAGCTGAGTGTGGAAAACTGGTGTCTGTAGGTACACCCACCTGTACCTTTCACTACAATAATGAGTAGATGTGCCTCCCACTTTACAGTTAAAGCAATTATTACCTTTACTGTGTGCATGTGTCAGCACAACAACAACACAGCTGGCTGTTGATTGGCTACTTCTGGCTTATGCAGGTAATAAAAATGATAGTTGTTTTGCAGCTCCATGCTGGATTTTTACATCTGCGGTACTGCATGTAAGTGCACAAACATCTGTATCTGAGTTAAACAAGGAGTATGTGATTTTTGGAGTCGAAGAGGAGTACACAGCGGAGCGCTTTCCCCTTGCAGAGGTTAAGGGAGCATGCACTTCAAAGACTGTTTTTAACATTTTTCCTTTCACGTCAATAAAACAGTCTGGTACACTGTGAAATGCGTATAAATAGATATATTGCTTGGATCTGCAGCAGTATTGGCGTAGTTGCTAGAGAACCAGCAACCTGTCAGCTGATAGGTGGCCTCCTTAATCAACCTGTCAACTCTTTTTTTTGCTCTCATCATCATCATCATCATCATCTCCACCCTGAATTAGCGCCATCATGCATTTTCCTCCCATTCCTGGCCTCTTTTTTTTTCCCCCCCATCCAACCCTGACCCAGTCCTGGGACATTTGAGGTCATAGCTTTTCTACACCTCATCCATGCTGGACCAATTCGCTGGAAACTGGTCCAGTACTCGGTCATAAAGTCCATGAACACACCAGCACATCTAAGCTGAGCTCAAAACAGTCAGTTAAGAGGCTCCGAATGTATCCACTTGACTTTGACTGGTCTGTCCTGATTTTCTCTTTCCTATGCTCTCTCTTTCTCTGTCTCTCTCTCTCCCTACTACCTCTCTGGTATTTATGTATTGGTAGTTGCCCTGGAGACAGGACACACAAACACTGTGGCGGTAGACAGGAAGTGCTGTGGAACCACAATGGCGTCACTGCGGCTCTGCGCTCGCTCTCCTCTCCTCCCCTCCTCTCTCTCCCTCTGTCTGCCTCAGCCAGCATGCATGCTATTATCCTTAGCAGAGCTATACACAGAGACCACACTTCTCTTTCTCTCCCGTCTCTCTCATTTCTCTCATTATTATTAGCATTGCTTTTTCAGCTGTCTCCCGCTCTCCCTTCAACTTTATACCACATTAGCTACCTCAGTATTTGGAAAATTGCTGTCTGATTTGCGGTGTCTGGTATGCCTTGGTGTTAGTTGATGTGCTGAAAAGCTGTTGGGCTGTTTTAAATATCTCGACCTGCCCGACTACA